TATCAAAGCAAAAGACTATTTTTTGCATTAAATAAGGATTAAAACATTTGTCACAGATTATTAAAACAATTTAATCATTATGTTGCAGACTTATTCACACTTAAATATATTTTGCAATATTTAGATTGTCTCCCAAACTTGTTTTGATTTTTGAAATTTTATAATTAGTTCACTACAGTTTCTTCCAGAAATAATGACTCATCAGTCATCATACAGCATACTGACTTTTCATGAGAAACGTGTGATTTGAAAGGAGTGCACAAAATGAACACAAGGTAGAAGACAATAGAAAATCACCGTTTATCACCGTAAGAAAAGGTTGAGAGCCTTGTATGAAGACCTGGCTTACCTGAACAATTTGTCGTGTTCTCACTACATGATAACCTTGTCTCCCTGTCTCAACCATTGGTATTCTATATAACACCAAGAGTCCAAGCCACCCTGAACAATTTATCCTCTTTAGCCCTATTATGTTATGTCTCTGCATTTAGTCATGCTGTTAAGCATCTGATAAATACAGTTCAAGCATTTTAGCAGCCATCTTTATTACTATCTTAGTACATTATGATGGGAGAGCATTTGAACACGCTCTTAATTTTGACATGAAGACTTTACAAAAACAGAAATGTGAACAGTAGTTTGTAGTATGACTTGTAGTCTCTCAAACAATTTTATCAACATGCTAATTTGATCTTAGGTTAGAAACCACACAGAGTTAGAAAATAAAGAGTGCCATGTTAGAAGAGTTTGTGATCTAAGCCTTAATTATTTAATCTCAGTTAGTTGGCTGGTCACTTGGTCCCTCTCTCTCTCCCTGCTAAATTTTAAGGAAGGTTCTTTATAACCTTCTATTTTACTACTGTTTTTCTCAATAAACCTCCTCCACCCCTCCTCCCCATCTGCACACTGAAAACCAATCTAAAATACAGTTCTCATTGTTGGCTGTACGATTCAAATCTCTGGGGTTGGGGCATAGGCTTCTATATGTTTTAAAGCTCTTTAGGTGATTTCCGATGTGTATCCAGGCTTCAGAATCACTTTTCTATCAATTACGCCTGAGCCTTTGATTTATCTTAATTGTGAGATGAAGACTTTCCATAAAGAGGCATTTTTCACTATATACAAACATTATACATCCTACTATACAAACATTCTTGCCATACAATTATGACTTGAAAGGAGTTATTTCTAAAGAACTACTCTGGCAGACACATGTTTTACTCTCAAAATGTTATATCCTTATTTCACATGAAAGTTGCTATCATCAGATACTGCTGTGGAAATGAATACCCACTCTAACTAGGAATTTTAAACTCTGTTTACTTACAAAAATTACTTGGAGACTTTTAAAATAAAAATCCTCCAAGAGTGATCTCTGATCAGGTTGAAAACACCCAGCACTCTGCCTAATAATGTTAAGGACACAATTTAAAAAGTGAATTATTTCCTATTCTTCGCCTTCTCCCCCAGCCCCTCTGTTCTCATCCTCCTCTTCTCTTTCCTCTTATTCTTCTTAATATTGATCGCTTAACTTGATTTTGGTTATGGCTGCTTTTTAAAATGATTAAACTAAAATAAAACCCTTAAATTTTAGTGTTAAATAATTTATTCAATTTATTATGTAGTGAATATTTGATTGAATACATACATTTTCCAATTTAATTGTAACACTTTAAGAGTAAATGGGTTAAACTTTATGTTATCTCATAATGAAAGAATAAAGTGAATATAGATCTGTAATAAGGGTTTAAAACACTATTATAATATGGGCAATTTCTTTTCTTACCGTATATCACTTCTACTACTTCTCTAGATTATTTTCTTCCTAATTTCAATATTTTATTCCAATTGAAGTTCTCTGTCTCCAGAAAAGTTAACAGTATCATTAATCATAAATTCTACTACATGATTCTGATTTTATTGGTCTGAGTGTGCCTTGCATCCATAGACTTTAAAAGTTTCTCAGATGATTAAAATGTAAAAGCCCAGATTGAGAACCATTGTCCATCTATAGCCATACCACCCTGAACACGCCTGATCTTGTCTGATCTCGGAAGCTAAGCAGGGTTGGGCCACTTGAATGGGAGAACCATTGCCCTAACCATTGGACAGAGACTACAGCCTGAGGAAACTTACCTCAATCATCAAGGATGGATAAATAGTCTCCCAGCAGTTTTCAGTAGATAAATATGGACAACTGCATACAGCTCAGTGAATCCTTTACCACTGTCAAATGTTTGCAACCCAATTCTGTGTCTTTGCATTTCTGACAATGACTTACCCAGATATTCCCATCTTGATGATAGGGTTTCCAATTTCTCCCTGTGTCACTGTAGAGCATCCGGTATTGGGTCACCCAATCTGAGCTGCTGTATCTTCCTTGAGTTGCAATGGCACTGATTTGCTTCCGGTTGCCAAAGTCAACCTGAAGCCATTGATAATGGTCACTGTCTGATGGAGACCATCCCCCAGCACCTGAAGAGGGTGAGACAAGAAGGATAAATGAAAATTTTAATTTGAACCTGTACAACTGACAATGGATTATTCCACATACCTTAATTGGCCTTGGCAGTGCTATATTTCACAGATACATTATGAAATGTCCTTTATAGATGCCACTGGGACTTCAAGTAGTATTCTTCCAGCTGGGTAATATTGATTCTTTAACCTCTTGATGGTGTAATTATGGGCTCATTTTCTTCTGAGCAAATATCTTCATAATTTCTCAATTAGATCTTATTAGTACATGTCAATCCCTAATTGGCTGAGGGTTGATCAATTTACCATGAACTGTTCAGATAAAATCATGAGGAAAAAATATGTAACTATCTAATTTCTTTCTATTCACATAAGGTTTTACCTTTTAGTAAATTATAAATGAAACAAAAAACAATTATATATAACTCCAAAATGTATTTTGCCTTCATCAGTTCAGAGTTCAAAGAATCTTAGTACTTCTTAAGATGAGGCCTATTCATACATTAAACCCCTATACTCATAATAACTAAGATATATAGGAAATTAGGCAATATGTTTATTATCAGTAGATATACAGTCAATGTCTCTTAGTAACTGTATTTCTAGGAAAATAATTTGAGTTACTAAACAAAGTTAAACTCCTTTTGGTAAAATATTAATATAATAATTGGTAAACAGTAAAAATGTGCTAACATTTATTAGAAAAAAGGCTCCAATAAGAAAAACTCTCAATTTATAGTAATATTTAGAATAACTCCAGTTGCACACAAAATAAGTTACAGAAAATATGGCATAATGCTTAGCACTAAGAAGCACTATAATATTTTTGGGTGAGTTCAGCTACTAAAGGTAGTGAATGATAGAAAAGTATCCAATAAATTATCCAATGTACAGTATATAAAAATATATGCACCACTTTTAAATAAGGAATATAAAGACTGACAAAGTAATTTATTCTATGAGGACTCTCAGAATAAAAATCATTTCTAATTATCAGATATATCCTTCATTTAACAATGTTTGCATGGCTTATTTCTGCTTAAAGTTATGATGGAATAGCTCTCTAAATAATTTCAAAACTGACAAAATATATAAAATAACTGTTTTTAGGGACTGGGCTAGAGGCAGTGCAGGACCCTGATCCACAAGAAAAGATAAATAAATAAGGTGAGCCATGCCAACTTCCTGGCTGCCTGTTTCACTTTCTGGATCATGGCACATGGAAGAGGATGCCAAACATAGTACAGCATAATCACTGGAATGGAGACAGGTCAGAATTCAAAGCTACTGAGGAAACTGGATTTGTAGGATAGAGTCCCAAAGAGAGGGTAGCAGTGTAGAGAAAGAGCTCTGGAAATCCACATGGGGCTTACCAATTAGTCTCTGGAGTCTAGACTCTCAATATTGTGCTGTGTATTTGCAGATCAAGACTCCACAACACCAGGTACAGGGAGTTCTGCAGTAAACAACTAGGGATTGTACAGTACTGGGAGAACTTTGATTTCAGACTGGACAAGATTGAGATACCTTGTTGAACAACCCTGGGCATTCAGTGGACATCCCAAGAAAGGTCATACATTGGAAGTAGGGACAGTTTGGTCCTAAAAAGGGGGAAACCCTGGACACACCTGAACAAAGATTACCAAAAATAGTTAATCTGGCCCATGAATAAATTAACTCTTTCCTTGAATAAAACTCAACACTCCATTAGGAAAGGCCATGGAAGTATAGAAACTGAACAGTGTATACATAACGTTCAGTATAAAATTTTTAAAAATACATACTAAACATTTGGAGAAGAAAATATGACTCACAACCAGATACAAAAATCAATCAATAGAAATGGACTCAAGAGAGATAATGAAGACCAGAACTTTAAAATAACAACTATAAATTAGTTCAATTATTTAAAAGAAAACATAAAT